CCCCCCCCCCCCCAAAAGGCACATAGCACACATTCACCATTTTGAGTGTTTGGTTATTGCTGTTGCTATTGTTGAGCTATTAGGCAAATGTGGGAAAGCTCTTTTCTGTTATATCACTTGGACCAAGTAAAAGAAAGCATATATACAATGGAGTACTCAGGGATTAGTGAAAAGTTATCAAGTGGAACAACACACACACACACACACACACACACACACACACACACACACACAATGTATTCTTTCATTGAAAAACATCTATGCATTGATTAGCTCCAGTGTACTAGGGACTTTACAAGTGAAAGCTACAAGCAAACAGACAATTAAAATATAATGTAAATCTTTTTCTAATTAAGGAAAGTTCAGCGTGATGTTAAAACTCAGACGTGTAGCACAGTGACCCAATTTGTGTATGTCATCTGTTCTCTGATGGCCTTGACTGCTACTTGCAGTGTCTTCCCTAATTACCTACACCCAGAAAGTGGTTTTACCAGTGTACTTCTGGGTCGCGTTATATTCAGACAAGCCTCCTGCTATGCTCTACATGAAATGGAGTCTGAGAGGCAGCTTTTCCCAATGTCCAAGATATTATTATTATTTCTTTACCATTATTGTTGCTATTGACTTGTTTTACATTTTTACATCTCGTTTTACCGAGAACTTTGGCTTAGGATCCAAGGGAAATCCTACCCTTGGGCCGTCCAGACCTCCAGTTCAGAGTTACAACAATGAGCAACCCTTCCCTTAGTGCACGAAGCTGACTCCTACACACGAAGAGCTGTTGGGCCCATTCCCCTAAAGTCTGCCAAGAGCTAAATTGGGCCAGGGAGGCAGAATCACAGAGGATTTTGAGTGTTTTCTGGATGACCTAAATAAGCACAGTCCATTTTCAGGAACTGCCGTCCAAAGTCTTATCTTTGAAGCCCAGATAGAAAATTACTGATCTCACTTGCTTGGTCCACAGAGTCAGAAAATGATACGATTAGTGTTTCAACCAGAAATGTGCAACCTACTATTCCACCAACAGAGACCTGCACCCTGATGCTAGATAACACCACCGCTCCTTGATGGAGCAAAGCAGTGGATAATGTGTGAGTGTCTGTGTGTGAGAGGGTGGCAAATGATAATGCAGGGTCTGGAACTAAATCTCATAAAATGCAGGGTCGACATTCTCCTTATTATGTAGGCTCCATCAAACGCATCTTTCAGCTGAGTGTTAATTCAAGTTACACGACAGTAGTACTAGCCCTTGGTGGATGTGTTCACCGACCGGTTCAGTGCACTGACGGTCCTGCTTCTCCATCATGGGCACTATCTTGTGACTCCCCCCAAAACAAATCCACCCTCCCAGGTAAGGATGAGGACTCACATCATTTATTTGAGAGGTGGTCCTTCTTAAGGAAGGTGTGGGTTGGTGAGACAGGAAAGAGAAAAGCCAATGAAGACTGTGTTAACAAGTGAGTACCCCTGTGGAAAGCAGGGACTCAATCCTCTAGGAGAAAATGTATCAAAGTTGTCCAAGGAAGGGGCCAAGAAGCTGGGACATTTTATATCAACTCCAACTGTTGCTGGTTGAGGATCATTAGCAAAGTACCAGCCCAGCGTGTCCAGGTTGCTCCTACCTGGCATCAGAGAATACCCACTAGGGTGATCTTTGGGGACAGTGTGAATATGGGCTGAGTGAATCCAGCATGTTAAATTCCACACTGATGTCCCATTGTACAGTTAGAGCTCACATAGACCAGCAGAAGGTCCAATATTATCAATATCCCATCCAAGAAGCCCATCCAAGACTTTGTCCACAACTGTTAGGAGATCTTACACAATCAAATGGTATCTTCCCCAACCTGGACATTCTTGGACACATGGCTCCTATTGGTAGCCACGGAGCATCAGGTTGGACATTCCTTCCCCTGGGATTAAGCATTTTACTTAAACCGGTGTGACTTTCTTCTGTTACATCTTTCAGTGGGTAACAGCTTTTCGTGTCCCTCAAAATTGCCTCTTACCAGGGAGTCTGGGTTGGATGGCTGGGTGGGCACAGGTGCCACCTTGGGAACCCACTGACCCATGTATGTCCACTTACCCATCTTCACTCAACCTGAGATTGTAATGTTTAACTTACATTAAGTCTGCCGACAAGGCAGAACAGCGTTAAGACTGAAAGGGAAGAGACGGGAGTGTGAAGCATGTAAACCCACCTGAAAACAATATTAAAAATCCCTGAACCCTTCTGTCATAGTAAAAAAAAAAAAGTATTCTGTTACACTTTGCCTGTCCCTGTGCAACTCTTTCCAGATAAATGTCAATACATGGAAATTGTCTCAAATCTGCAGAACGGAAGCCCATACCTATTTGGCACTTTCCCAATTCTAGAGCCAAAAGAAACAAATAAAAACACAAACAGCTTTGGGTAGTGCCTAAGTGATAGGTCCATAGCTTTGGAATATATCTCTAAATGAAAGGCACACTTCCAATCAAAACCCTTCACAGTCCCCAGACCTGTGCGTCTAAGATCAAGGGAAAGGAAAGCTGCCTTCTTCACATTAGCTTTTCTGCCTGTGAAAATAACATCTTATTTGTTTTGTTGTGGGTGTCATACTGATGATGGTCCAAGGTCTTCGGACTCCCTGAATTTTTGGCAAAATCACCCCTCACTCAGGGTGAACTTCCGTGGGAGGACTTCTGAAATAGGTAGTTAAGTAAGTAGATTGCTACTTTAATATAACCAAAAGTTAACTCTGATTGCTGAGGGGGTCTTCACAGGAAATAATGGTCCCTGGTTATGTCTGCAGGGCCTGTCAAAAGACAGACTTTTCAGGCATACTTAAGAGACAGACAGAGCTAAATGCATATAACATGATTCAATTCACACATCTGCTCTTTCTTATCACCTACATCATTGCATGTGACCTGTTTTGGGCACGTTGATAATGGAACTTTCCCGAGATCGAGAGAATTTCCATTTTAGAAGCGCCAAGGAACGTAGTAAAATTCAGCAATAGCAATTCCAAACTTGAGAAGTTCATCAATATTTATGCCGTTGGATTACAGTCATTTACAGATGATGCAATCAGCATGGGAAGCTATCTTGTGTGAGTTAATTTTCAAGATTAAATGTATGCGGTAGTCATGTTTGGGTATTTAAATGTCTGTTACCTGGATCCAAATGCCAGACTTACAGTCACCTCGAAAAGTGCATGTTGAAATAATCAGCTTTCATTGATTTCATCATATATTCTTACGCTAAGTGGTAAGTTAATTGGCAGTGTGTGCAGTTAAGATATTTCACGATTTGGTGATGTATGGCAAAATATAACTTTAAAATGCGTTTTGCTTACGCAATGTTGAACATATCATTTGGAGAGTTTCAGAAACCTTGACATTTATTTTTTTTTTTCTTAGTTTTATTTTTGAGAGGCAGCGAGAGACAGAGTGCGAGCGGAGTAGGGGCAGAGAGAGAGGAAAACACAGAATCTGAAGCAGGCTCATAGCTTCAGAGCTCATAGCTCAGAGCCTGATGTGGGACTCGAACCCACGAACCGTGAGGCCATGACCCGAGCTGAAATCGGACACTCAACCGACTGAGCCAACCAGGCGCCCCAAACCTTGACATTTAAATCCCAAGTGCTGGGGCGCCTGGGTGGCTCAGTCGGTTGGGCGTCCGACTTCAGCTCAGGTCACGATCTCGCGGTCCGTGAGTTCGAGCCCCGCGTTGGGCTCTGGGCTGATGGCTCAGAGCCTGGAGCCTGCTTCCGATTCTGTGTCTCCCTCTCTCTCTGCCCCTCCCCCGTTCATGCTCTGTCTCTCTCTGTCTCAAAAATAAATAAACGTTAAATCCAAGTGCTCACTTTGGTATTCGAACATGGCAGATCTAGATTGGTATGGATTTACTCAAGTGTAGTATAATAGCAAACTGGACTTGGTAGCTCGCCCAGTACTTTTTAAACATGAAATTCAAGTAAATGAAGAACGTATTTCCACCTTAATTATTCATGTGTAAGAGTGGAGCAGAAACACTTGCTCCCGTAGAGCCAGGCACAAAGTCTAGCATACAATGGGTAATCAATGCATGCTCATTAAGTAGATAAGAGGGACTGGAGGGCAATGTTTAAACAAATTTCATGGTCAGAGGCAATTGTTTGAAAAAGTTATACCAGCCTTCCCCGTCAGGACTTGGGGGGACAATATCCAGAGCTTGAAGTGATCCATCATGGGCCTGCCAATATTATTCCATTATTTGTGATGAGAAATGAGAAGATTTTGTTGAAATTGTCATCAGGAAGTCTTGGTGATGTTTGAGAAGCATTCCACAGCAGTGCTAGAAGACAGCAGATTTCTAGACATGGCAGAGTGAATGTCCTGTGAATGTTAAGTAGGGGCGCCTGGGTGGCTCAGATGGCTAAGCGTCCGACTTTGGCTCGGGTCATGATCTCATGGTTCATGGGTTTAAGCCCCGTGATGGGCTCTGTGCTGACAGCTCAGAGCCCGGAGCCTGCTTCAGATTGTGTGTCTCCCTCTCTCTTTGAGCCCCTCTCCTGCTCACGGTCTATCTCTGTCTCTCTGTGTCTCAAAAATAAATAAACATTAAAAAAGATTTAAAAAAGTGAATGCTAAACTTTATCACTTTGGGTTTGTTGGAAATCCACATATATCACAAGACAGTTGAACATTTTCCCAAAAAATATGCAACGGCAATGTATTCATGAAAATGGTCATACTTTTTTTTTTTAAGGCAGAATGAGATTATCATTAAGTAAACCCAAATGGTTTGTTTTATGAAAAAAAAATCATCACCCTAATAAATCACCTGTCTGCTCTTTGGTGTTACTGAATACGTTTAGTTATCCAAAATCAATATAAGGTATATGCCTACATTATTTCATATGTGGTTTATCTTCTCAAAACTTGTTCTTTAATATGAGTAAATAACTCCCATGTACTTTCCCTCAAGGACACAAACAAAAATGTCCTCTCAATGTAAATACATGAGACAATATAGTGTTTCTTGATGCTTTGTCCAGATGTGTGAGAAACTCGGAGTGCTGAATGCAGGATTGTCAGGGTACCCTTTCAAGTTAGGTATTAGGTATGATTGAGCATGGGCAACCCCCTTTCAAGTTAGGTATTGGGTGTGATCCAGAAGGGGCATCTCTTCAAAGTAGGTGCAGGGTACGATCCAGAGAGGGCAAAGTACTGAGTATGATCCAGAATGGGTAACCTGTCAAGTTCAATACTGATTATGATCCAGAATGGGCATCTCTTCAAGGTACGTGCTGGCTTCAGTACAGAATAGGCACCTCTTCAGGGTAGGTTCTGGGTACGATCCAGAATGGGCATCGCTTCAAGTTAGACACCCAATCCAAGTAGATACTCAGTACAATCCAGAATGGACATCTCTTCAAGGGAGGCACTATCTACAATCGAAAAGGGGAACCACTTCACGATAGGTACTGAGTACATCCAGAATAAGCACCTGTTCAACGTTCGTACTAGGTATGATCCAAAATGGGCACTTCATCAAGTTTGATACTGGGATTGACTCAGAATGGGCTTGGGCAACTGTGAGTCATTGCCCCCTGCCTGTTTTCATTTAGCCCACAAACTAAGAACGGGTTTTGCATTTTTAAATCATCAGGGAACAAATTAAAAGAAGGGCAATATCTCATGGTATGTGAAAATTATATGAAATTCAACATTTAGTGTCTACACATCAAGTTTTATTGAACATAGCCTTGCCTGTTTGGATAAGTGTTGCCTGTAGCTAATTCCACTCTACAACAGCACAACCGAGTAATTACAATGGGGATCACAAGGCCCCCAGAGCCAAAAGTACTTACTTTCTGGTCCCAAACAGAAAACATTTGCTGCTGTCGATGTCTGGCCTAGCGCTTTCGAATACATGAAGGTTAGATTAAGTTTAAAAAACTGTAAAGTGATCTTATTTTACTGTAAAACTATAAAGTGATCTCTTTAATATTTTATAGTACAAATATTTGAAAATGCTCAATAATAAATGATTTGGATAGAGAAAATCCCAAACCACTAAGAACTGACTAAGAAGGCAAAAGCCAAGAAGTTAAAATAAAAGTGAATACATACATTAAAAAAATAAGTTGGGGAATCTATAATTATATACAAACTTGACCCTGAGCTCCAGGCACACTGGCTAAAAATGAGAAGAAACTTTTCCTCAGTCTCTCTCTCTCTCAGGCCTGAGAGTAATTTCTTAAGTGTCTTTCTACCACCACTTGTTATTAGAAAAAATACTACTGGTAAGCTTCATGAAATAGGTCTTTGATTAGTAAGAAATTGTATACAGAGAAAGAGTCCCAAAGCTTGGGATCATGGCCAAAGCAGAGGGTGGTACCTATTTAAACTAAATCTGGATTCTTCGTGTTTAAAGCTCCCAGGACCCAGATGGCATCTGTTTCTCCTTGGAAACATGTTGGAGGGAGATTACTCACATATAATGTTTTAAACCCTGAGGCCTGATTTACTCTAGAAAATGTTTGTATCATGAAGGAGGGTCTCCATCCCAGGGTGCTGCTATTTTCCATGCAGGACTTCCAGCATGCAAATTCATGATACTAAAATAAGGTATAGAGAAAGGCTGTGGAAATGAGGAGTACGGAGTGGTAAGCATCCATCGTCATTGGGAGGTGAGGTTTTCACTTGCATGACCTAAAGGAACACACTGAGGACCTCAAGCCAACACTGTTCTTTGGAAGATTTTAAAATCAGAACCTCAGGAAATCCCTGAGAATTTCATTTCAACTCAGGAGTTCTCTTGAATACGTTATTTTGTTGGTAAACAAGGACACTATGTCAGCAAAGTTAAAGGAGTTAATGGAATCTGTATTTTGGCCTCTTTTTGCACAAAATAGATGGACCTCTTTCTGTCCCAAAGGAAGAGTCACCCATATTTTGTCCTTAAGTATGCACAATGGTAATATCTTTCCAGAGGCAAAATGTCATGACAAGGCTGGGCGTAGGACACCTGTCCGAATAGCAAACTTGAATTCCTTCTAACAAGATGCAACAAATGGGAAAGAATATGACCTCAATTCTTGCAAACAAATAATTGCCTATTCTAAGTGAACACAGAGTTCTCATCGCTAATCAGCAGAGACAATGACTTTGTCCAAATGGGCCCTCATTGAAAGTTCTCATGTCATTCTGGAGAAGACTTGGCGACTTGTGAGTTGAACAAAACACAGAGAGATTAAAATAGCCAATAAATATATGATTTAAATGGGGGCCCTGATGAGACCTCCCGACCATTCAATTACAGAGGATTTCAGTATGTGATGACCAAAACCCTGCTTGGAGATCACATTCTTACCCGGAAGATCAGAAGTCTTCATTTCACTATGAAACAGCAGACATGCTGGGAAGTGATGCTTGCCCATCTGATCTGAATTTGTGTGCATTCTTTTCTAAAAGTCACCTTGGGGGGCTTCTCACAGGAAGAGGATGATATCCATATGACACTAGCCACCAAAGCACATTGCAGCAGGACAGGAAATTCGGGAGAACAAGTACACACTAGTGGCCTCAACTGGAAAGCATGTAGCAGGCTCAACCAGAAGCTATGTGTGAACCGCAGACTTGAAGTCAACCTTATTTGTCCCCTGACTCCACATGGACAAAGCCACCTGATTCGGTCCAGTGACATGGTTCAGGTCTGTGCAGTGTCCAGTATGTCCCTCCACAACAACATCTAGGGACACTCACTAATTTTATTATGGAACAGGTGCTTTCAGGAAAGGCATGTAATTTGTATGAACACTGCATTAACATTACAGTATACCAAATTTATTTATTTTTTAAATGTTTATTTAATTTTTAGAGAGATTGACAGACCGTGAGTGGGAAAGGGGCAAAGATGGAAGGAGACAAAGAATCCGAAGCAGGCTCCAGGATCTGAGCTGTTAGCACGAGACTGATGTGGGGCTTGAACCCACCAACCATGAGATCATGACCTGAGCCCAAGTTGAATGCTTAACCGACAGTGCTCGCTTCGGCAGCACATATACTGAATGCTTAACCGACTGAGCCACCCAGGCGCCCCTATACTGCAGCAAATTTATACAAGACATGACGTTCTTGAAATTTTGTACCTCTACCAACTGATACTTATTCAATGTCATTCAAGAAAACTGATAAATAAATTATTATGCATGGTGTTATCTTAATGCTACCACTAACTCAATCCACTTCAGTCTTATGAACTGTAACATGGACACATTATGTGTCATAATTCAGTAAGAAACTATCAATAATTTGTCCGGATAAAGTATGAATGACACCATAATTTCTAAGGATTAGTGGCCAAATTAATCCTTATATATATCCTTTCAACAGTATCTTCTTAAAAGCAGGTTAATTTTTAGTCTTCACAAGGACTGGAATGAACTCACAATATTACACACCTACCTTATTATTGGTTACAAGCTATACATATGATATTTTTTAAGAAAAAAAGTCAGAGTTTCCCTGGAGAACATTTAGTGAACTTTGAATTCAACACTCATTCATGATAGTTCATAGCAAATACAAGACAGAAATCATTCTTGTTGTACTATGCACGGAAGGA